GATTTTGAACACAGAAGGTAAATTAGAGTGTGAGGTAAAGTACAAAAATCAGAATTTAAAGTTGCCATTAATTGTAGCTAGTTTTGTGAATAGACCAACTTTGTTAGGTAAGAACTGGTTGTGTGAACTTGAGATGGACTGGAAGGAGATATTTAGTGTTAGAATGTGTAACAGTATTCCAGGTCTTGAGAAATTGCTTGAAAAATACAAGATTTTATTTGTAAAGGGACAGGATGGTATAAAGGGTTATGAAGCTCATATCACCATTGACAAAGATGTTACACCTATATATGCTAAGTCCAGACCTGTTCTTATGCATTGAAAGGTGAGGTTGAGAAGGAATTAGACAGACTTGTGAGTGAGGGAATTATTGTGAAAACCGCCAAGAGCAATTGGGCTGCTCCAATAGTAATTGTACCTGAAGCTGATAAATCTATTAGACTATGTGGTGATTATAAAGTTACCATTAATCAAGCTGTTGAGGATGAGCAATATCCCTTACCCACATCTCAAGATTTGTTTGCTGCACTAACAGGTGGAACCTTTTTCACTAAGTTAGACTTGACCCAAGCATATGCTCAGGTCTCTGTTGATGCTGAAAGTCAACAGTACCTTACCATCAACACTCATAAAGGATAGTATAAGTTCAAAAGGTTGCCTTATGGTGTTAAAAGTGCACCAAAGATATTTCAGTGCATTATGGACAAAATTCTTGTGGGTCTTCCCAATGTGTTATGTTTTCAGGATGATGTCCTTATTGTTGACAGTGACATCCAAAATCATGTCAAAACCCGAGCCACAGTATTCGAAAGATTGTTGGCACACAATGTCAGGCTCAACAAGAGCAAATGTTCATTCCTAGCTAAAGAAGTAACTTATCTTGGCTACAAAGTGAATGCAGAAGGGCTGAGACCTGTAGAAGATAAAGTAGGAGCCATAGTAAATTTACCTGCTCCAAAAAATGTCAGTGAATTGAAAGCTTTCCTAGGTATGATACAGTATTATTCAAGGTTCTTGAGTGGACTTTCATCAGTTTTAGCCCCTCTGCATGAACTATTAAAGAAAGGGATACCATGGAAATGGAACAGTGCAACTCAGAAGTCATTTGAAGATTGTAAAGCTGCTCTGTCTAGTACTGATGTTTTGGTCCACTATGATACCAGTAGAACACTAAAGCTTGCTTGTGATGCATCGGGCTATGGATTAGGTGCTGTCATAAGTCACATAATGGATAACGGTGAAGAAAGACCCATTGCATATGCCTCGAGAACTCTTACCCAAAGCGAGAAAAATTATGCACAAATAGAGAAAGAGGCTTTGTCTATCATATTTGGAGTAAAGAAATTTCACCAGTATCTATATGGGAGGAATTTTGTTTTAATAACTGATCACAAGCCTCTCTTGGCAATTTTGGGTCCTAAATCACCTGTTCCTACACTTGCTGCAGCAAGAATGCAGAGATGGGCTTTGATATTGTCGGCATATGACTATGAGATACAGTACAGACGTTCAGATGATCATTCCAATGCAGATGCTTTGTCAAGGTTGCCAGGTAGTGGATCAAATGATGGAGTAGAGCCTAAGGTTTATGCTGTAACCATGATAGCAGAAGATTTTCCAGTCACCTCCGGAATGATTGCTCATGAAACTAGGAAAGATGTTGTGTTAGGAAGAGTCCTGGAGTATACACTAAATGGATGGCCAGAGATTTGTCCATCCTTAGACTTTCAACCGTATCATTTAAGGAGATGTCAATTATCAGTAGAACAGGGATGTGTGTTGTGGGGTATGAGGGTGTTAATTCCACAGTGTTTTAGAGGGCAAATTTTGAATGAACTGCATTTTGAACATCCAGGTATATGTGCTATGAAAGCACTGGCCCGAAGTTTTATTTGGTGGCCTAAACTGGATGGTGAAATAGAAATGATGGTACGTGAGTGCTCTGTTTGTCAGAATGTTAGGAGTATGCCACCCAGCACACCTTTGAAAACCTGGAAATGGCCTACCCGTCCCTTCCAAAGAGTACACATTGACTTCTGTGATAAGGGAACAGACAAATTTCTTGTATTAATTGATAGTCATTCAAAGTGGATTGATGTTAAGCACATATACAGTACTAATGCTGGTAGCACCAGTGATGAATTAAGATTAATGTTTGCCGAACATGGAATACCAGAAGAGGTAGTTTCTGACAATGGTCCTCCATTCCAATCATCAGAGTTTAAAAACTTCATGAGACTCAACAGTGTAAAGCATGTACTGACCCCCACCCTATCATCCTGCCTCTAATGGTGCAGCTGAGAGATCAGTTAGAATTGTAAAGGAAGCAGTTTCCAAGCAGGTAATTCAAGGAACTGTAGGAAAATCAATGAAACACAGACTAGCAAATTTCTTACTCAGATACAGAACCACGCCACATAGTGTGACAGGATGTACTCCTGCAGAGTTAATGGTGAAGAGACAGTTGAGAACAAGATTAAGTTTAGTTAAGCCAAGTCTAATTGAAGTTGTAGAGAGGAAACAAGCTCAACAAAAAATGTATCATGATAAGAGTTCCAGTGAAAGTGTGTTCAAGGTAAATGATAGGGTGAGAGTTAGGAACATGGTTAAAGGTTGTGGTACTGTACATGCAAAGTGGATAACTGGTGTCATTGACAAGGTATGTGGATCTAGGACATATTTAGTGAAATGTGGTAACTCTTTGAGATATGTTCATGTGGATCACATCATTCAGGCACATGACGAGATGAATGTAGCACCAGGACATGATGATAAACTTGACACAGTTTCAGATGATCATCATCATGATGATGTCAAAGATGATGTTTCCCAGCATCCACTCACTGTGTCAACTGATTGTAGTGATGATATGTCTGTCACTGATAATGCACAGAGTGCAAGTGAAACCCCTGTAAAACTTGATGGAGGGAATAGTCCTAGAAGATCAAACAGAGTTAGGAGACCTGTAATTAAATTAGACCTCTAATTATCTGAATTGTGAACAGGCCTTTCAAAACTGTTTAGTTAGGAAGTTATATTTCTTGTGTTCTATTCTCTTCTTCCCTGCCATATGTAATTCTGTAAGTTTTGTTTATTTAGGATTTGTAGCAGCCATGCTCTCTTTTGAAAGGGAGAAATAGTGTTATATATATGTATGTTTATATGCTGCCTTTATTGAATATATATATTATGTTACTTATTACCAAAGTCAGAAAGTGTTTAGGCTTGTGTAAACACGAAATGTGTCAGGCACGTTGTAACCAAGAACAGAGAATAAACGCCCAGCCAGACAGACCATGTGACTCGTCATTCTCCCATTAAATAACGCAAGATACTACACAGGTGTAAATAAAAAAATTTCCAGGTACATTAATTCGTTCTTTACTACAACAAAATAACAAAATTAGAAGTTTTCAATAATATGTTGTACATATTATTGGGAAATTCAAAGATGATAATTGCCACTGGCACCTGGGCTAACTATTTTATTTAACCAACTATTATCAAGATGATCATTAGGCCTAGTGATGAACATTGACAAAGACCTTAACCCCCTCCTCCATATTTTACTCCTCGGATTGACCTGGATGTTCCCAAAAAGCAGGAAATCCAACAAAAACTGAAAAATCACACTCCTGATTCACCTATGTGAATCATGATAAATATGTGGAATATTCCACAAAAATAATGTCAGTTAATTATAAGAACACTTCATCACAGACAATACTCACTGCATAATTAGTAGATATAACCTGTAATAATTTGTTATTTTATAACTAAAATGAACCATGAGAGGTACACAAGCAATTCAGTTATTGGAGTGGACTATTTACTGTTATTTGTGCCTAAAAGTTTAAATATTTACCTCCATATAGTACATCATTGTTTTTACGGTAATATTGCTGTCAAAATAGCAATACAGTGGTCCCTCGGTTAACGAACGGTTCGGTTAACGAACTACCTTCCACAAGAATCTTCAATTCGGTTAACGAAAAAAAATTTGATTAACGAAATCCTTACGAATATCACGTTTTGTTGTGAGCATCAGCTGATGGGCTAGTTTGCCAATTCAGTAATTCAGTAATCTGTTCTATGTTTACATTCGTTTCCAATGAAATAAATATCAAGAAAATTGTGCTCTTTAATATTTGTGCATTTTTTATATTAAAATTATTGGTCTTTCTAAAATTTAGCCATCCAAGCTCTGTCTACATAAAGTTTTTCAACTATTATTTTTGGCTCATATATGTAACTTTATTCATTTATTGAAACTCATTTACATGCACACACTGTCCTAAGGTCAAAGCTGAACTGTACATGTAATCAGAATAATGTACAAAATGAATACTAAAATTTGTCTAGTGCAAACTATGGCATGTTTACATTAAAATTAATAACTACCTTATAAGAATTCCAGAAATGTAAATTATATTCTCCCCGGTCACTTCTATGAAATTTTATAAGCAAAAAACGAAAACTCAATCTGAAGGACATAAATAAACAAATAAATACTTCACTAGACCTAGTCGCCAACTGTCAAACATGTCACCCTCCCTCCCAGCCAGGGTTTGGTGGTTATACAATAGGCTTTAAGTTGTTATCTTATATATTATCACAGACTAAAGTTAGGAGAATATAATTTGCATTGCTGAAATCTTTGCAAGACAGTGATTAATTTGAATATAAACATTATATATTTTCAACAAGATATAAAAATTAATCACCTGTATCACATTACAGTAGTGATTTAAGAGTAGGAGTGTATATGTACGTATATATATATACGGTACTGTATAGTGATTTAAGGCCGATTTAGGGGAATTTTAGGAGTGTTTCTGACTTTATGCATTTTGGCCTTTACTTTGTATGTACTTTTCTGTGAGCTGGAACCAATTACCCAATATCCCATTGAAATAATAGATTCGGTTAACGTGACGACTCTGTGGAACGAATTGTGTTCGTTAACAAGGGACCACTGTATTACAATCAGTCTTCAAAGCACCTGATAATTATATAAGTACATATACACCTTAATGTTACCTGGTTGGGTTGTGTTAGGCTATGGTGAGTACCACACAGTGAGACACTAGTCACACCTTGTATTCAGTGTAGTGTGGCTGATGTTATAACACATCTTTCCGTCGGGAGTCATGGATTTTGTCAGGCCAAGAAGAGAGCTTCACGATGATTCTTCAGTACGAACAGTTTCTCTAAAGTTTATTGTTGATGCCCTTTACTGTCCATGCAAACTGGGGGGCCAAACCTGTTGAAAGAATAAAATCAATTATTCTTATAGTATAAGATCTTCTGGCTATATACTGCAGTGGGACCAGAATTCACACAAGCACGCACGCACGCACGCACGCACACTACATCCTTGACCACCGAAGGGTCAAGACGTACCTGGCGCTCCTCTCGGAGCAGCCAGGTCAACTGTTATGTTGGCCCATACCAACTCCCTCCCCTGAACCCTCCTCCCCACCGGAATATCAACATGTTCTCGCCAGAAGTTACTATTTCATTAAGGAAAGGAATGGAACCAGTGTTAAACAGAGGTGAACAGTGGTGAACAGTGCTTAAGTCAGTGAGAACAACTCAACAGTAACAGTAGTACCCAAAATAACCTTCACACAGTGAGGTCCCAGGTACCCAGTGATAACGGCCCGTGAGACCCAACTACCAACGATGTGTTAATCCGTCTACGATAGGAAGGCCTGGAACCACACCTCACTCATATAACACCATCTGTGAGGGAATTACTACACCACGTGAGGCCCCTCATAACACCATCTGTGAGGGAATTACTACACCACGTGAGGCCCCTCATAGCACCATTTGTGAGGGAATTACTACACCACGTGAGGCCCCTCATAACACCATCTGTGAGGGAACTACTACACCACGTGAGGTCCCTCCTAACACCATCTGGGAGGGAGTTACTACACTACGTTTTTGCTGTTCAACACCTACAAAAATCTATGTTCACTGTATGTTCCCTTACCTTTCTCTAATGAAGGCTTTTGTTAAACCACCAATGTATGTAATAAGTCATTTATGTCCAATGTATATTTTCAGCCTTCGGGCTGCAGAACTTTTTCAATAAACCGTCAATTATCATTATTATTATTATTATTATTACACACACACACACACACACACCGAGATCCTCTACCTAGGGGATTTCAATGTTCATCACAGAGAGTGGCTTGGCTCTGCAAGGGATGATTTGGAACAAATAATCAAACGCCCTACACGCGTTCCTGATCGACACGATCAACTTGCTAACATTCTTGATCTTTGTTTTACCTCTAACCCCTCACACTATTCATACACAATTTCTGCCCCCTTAGGGTCTTTTGATCACAACCTTATTTCTATTAAATCAAATTGGGCACGACCACCTCCCCCACCCCCCTCTAAACATCAACTATGGCACTATCGGAGGGCAAGCTGGGAATCCTTGCGAGAATTCTTCACCGACTTTCCTTGGGATGAATGTTGCTTTTCCACTCGGGACGCCTCGGTACGTGCTCACAGCATTGCTGGGGTTATACAGGGCGGTATGAGTGCATTTATCCCATCTTCTACCTAAACTTTCACATTACAATCATGGTTTGATCGCTCCTGCCCTCTTGCTTGCAGGGTGAGAGATAGGGCATATCGAGCTATGAAACTATCTCCTTCTCCTATTACCCACACCTCTTTCATTACTTCTAGGAATCGTTGTAAGGCTATTCTTCGTAGGGCCAAGTGGACTTTTATTAAAAGAAAGACCGCTGCCCTGACTAAGTCTTCCTCTAGTAAATCGATTTGGTCCTTCACCAAAAACATCTGTAACAACTTCAGTACTCCTTCTTTTCCTCCCCTCTTACGACCTGATAACTCTATAGCCAAGTGTCCCCCTGACAAAGCCAACTTCTTAGGCACCTTATTCTCCTCTAATTCCACCTTAGACAATTCCCACTCTATCCCTCCTACCAATGTACCTCCTACTGAACCTATGCACTTTCCTATAATCTCCACTCGCAGGGTTGCCGGTGTGTTATCCAGGTTGGATGTGAGTAAGGCGCATGGACCAGACGGAATACCCCCTCGTGTTCTGAGGGAGTGTGCTGAAGCTCTGGCCGCTGTGCTTGCTCGCCTCTTTCGCCTCTCCCTCAAAACCCAAACTTTTCCTTCTTCTTGGAAGCATGCCTTGGTTCAGCCCATCCCAAAGAAGGGTGACCATTCTAATCCCTCTAACTATCGCCCCATTGCCCTAACTTCATCCCTCTCTAAGATTTTCGAAACTATCTTAAAATCCCGTCACCTTGAACACCTTTCTCTTTTGTCGGATCACCAGTATGGCTTTCGCCAGGCGAGATCTACTGGTGATCTGCTCTCCTATTGCACCCATCTTTGGTCATCCTCTCTTAGGGATTATGGGGAAACTTTTGTCATAGCCCTCGACATCTCCAAAGCATTGGACAGGGTATGGCTCAAGTCTTTGCTTTCTAAACTTCCCTCTTTTGGTTTCTCTCCCCCACTTTGTTTTCTCATCTCTAGCTTCCTTGAGAACTGATCCATGGCAGTTGTTGTCGAGGGTTCGATCTCTCGTTCTTTCTCTACCAGTAGTGGTGTCCCACAGGGTTCTGTTCTTTCACCTACTCTCTTCCTTCTTTTTATCAATGATTTACTTCACACTACAACTAATTCTATACATTCTTACGCTGATGAGTCTACTCTTAACTCTTCTTCACATTTTACACTTCCTCCTAACTCTCAAACTAGATCTGTTTCTGGAGCTGATATCATTACTTTTATCAATGCGGATCTGTGCAGCATCTCTGAATGGCGATGTACAAACTTGGTTAAGTTCAATAGTAATAAAACTCAATATTTACCAATTACACTTTGTAAAGTAGATGATCTCCCACCAATTACATTTCAGGACGCTATCATCCTCCCAAATTCTGAAATAAATATGTTAGGCCTCACCATTTCCTCCAATATGTCCTGGAAATCACACATCCTTAGTATAGCTAAAGCTGCCTCCCGAAAGTTGGGAATGCTGTACAGATGCCATAGCTACTTCACTCCTGAGCAGTTGCTCTAAGTGTAGAAGGGATTCATTCGTCCTAACTTGGAGTACTGCTCTCATATCTGGGGTGGTTTTTCTTCTGTCCAACTATTAGATAGGGTGGAATCAAAGGCATTTTGTCTTATTAACTTTCCTCCTTTAGTCGACAATCTCTCTTCCCTTTCTCTTCGCGGCAATGTTACTTCTCTCTCTCTCTTTTACAGGTACTTTAACGGGCAATGTTCGGTGGATTTGGCATCCTGTGTACCGCTGGCAAGGCCGTGGGCTCGTAACACACGTCTTGCTCACGGTGCCCACCTTTTCTCTGTGGATGTCGGTCACACGAGAATAACCCATTATAGTACCTCCTTTCCTCACACAGCCAAACTGTGGAATGCTCTGCCTTCTTTTGTGTTTCCATTCTTATACAATCTGTCTCACTTTAAAAAGCTGGTTTTCCAGCATCTTCATGGCATTGATTAACACAATATAATTTTTTTGTTCTCTAATTTTAATTTATTTCTTTTCTTTTTTTTTGGCCCCCCAGGCCCCGTTGTGGGTCGTTTGACCTGTGCCCGGGTGGGCTAATTCCCATAAAAAAAAAACCACACACACACACACACACACACACTTCATCCTAAACCACCGAATGGTCAAGACGTACCTGGCGCTGCTCTAGCAGCAGCCACATCAACTGTTATGTTGGCCCAAACCAACTCCCTCCCCTGAACCCCTCCTCCCCTACGGAATATCAACAAGTTCTCGCCAGAAGTTACTATTTCATTTAGGAAAGGAATGGAACCAGTGTTAAATAGTAGTGAACAGTGCTTAAGTCAGTGAAAAACAACTCGGCAGTAACAGCTGAGTCTTACCCAAGCTAACCTTCACAGTGAGGTCCCAGGTAACCAGTGATAATTGCCCCTGAGACTCCACAACATCAGCTATGTGTTAATCCGTCCACGATAAGGAGGCCTGGGACCACACCTCACTCACTTGAGTGAGAGAGTTCCTGTGCCACCAGACCGCGTGGTGTTCCCATGATGCTACGACACCAAGTGGTGACTGAGTTGCTACAGCATCATGTGAGGTTCCTCATAACACCATCCGTGAGGGAATTACTACACCATGTGATGCCCCATTACACCATCCATGAGGGAATTACTACACCACATTAGGTCCCTCATACACAATCTGCGAGGGAATTACTACACCACATCAGGCCCCTCATAACACCATCTGTGAGGGAATTGCTACATCATCAGGCCCCTCATACACCATCTGTGAGGGTATTACTACACCACATTAGGGCCCTCATACACAATATGTGAGGGAATTACTACATCATCAGGCCCCTCATAACACCATCTGTGAGGGAATTACTACATCATCAGGCCTCTCATAACACCATCTGTGAGGGAGTTACTACACCACGTGTCTGCTGTTCAACACCTCAGCTCACATGATCTACGTGACCTCCACTGTAAACATTAATCTGTATGTTCACTGTATGTTCCTTTACCTTTCTCTAATGAAGGCTTTTGTTAAACCACCAATGTATGTAATGAGTCATTTATGTCCAATGTATATTTTCAGCCTTCGGGCTGCAGAACTTTTTCAATAAACCATTAATTATTATTATTATTATTATTGTTACACTACTACTATCACTACTCTGCTGTCACTCGGAATCGAGAATGACGATCATCCAGCTATGATACAATGATACGAGTTATCAATAATGTCACCTTCATTGGTGAGTTCTGAGGTGAATAGCGAGGCTGATACGGGACCGGCAGAGATTGTCCACAGATATTGCACGTATGGGGGATCACATCTAGTGCAGGAGGGGCGTTGGAGCTTGTCTGCCTCGATATGCCGTCGGGCTAACTCGAAAGTGTAGTGCTCCTTCAAGCGTTACGGTGTGGAGAAATTGTCTCCCAGGTGAGGGGAACAATTTGAGCACTTTATCAGGTTTGTCTTGACTTAGGGGTCTTGTTGGAGCTCTGTAAGTATGTTTGCCTGATGTGGGGCTCCACTGCAGATTTTTCATACGGGGTTTACTCCTGTAGCCTTATACCTGCCAAGGTTAATCCGCAAGGCAGCGGGGCGGTGGTTGGTAGGCGCCAGGACGTGTCCATATGCCAGTGGTCCTATGCGCCGTCCCTCTGGAGCCCACTGCTACTCCAGCCCAGGCCCTTGAGGCACCCAGTTACCATGTGTTGCCAAGAGGAGGCACAGCAGGAGTCTTGGTGGTGAGAAGGCTGTGTACTGGCAGGGGAAGACTTATGCAAGTTGCTTCCCGGTTTGCCACGAGGGCTAGCCAGAAGAGGCAGCTGAAAGCGAGAGGGAGCAAGCAGTGCTTGCACCTTAACACTAACATAATGCTGCCACACTAGATGCATTTCACCACCCTGCGTGGAAAAAATCTCTCTCTCTCTCTCTTACCTTCTTCTAAGGCAGTTGTGCATGAATGTATCTGTGCAACAAATCCCCCAACTACCATAACAAAAAACCCTTAAGAGCGAGAGTATGAAAATAATAATAATAATAATAAATGTTCTCACACTTACCAAAGAATTTCCTGAAGTTATCACAACTGAGATTAACAAGACATTTCTTGTCTGTCCATATGTCCGTCAGTTCAAACTCGATGTTGATAAACGGCATCACGGTCCGGTTGTGAGCCCTGCTTGAAGTCTGGGGTTGTCCACTATGTGCGTACACTTGCGCTGTTGAGGTGAGAGATACTGTATATGTTAATGCCCATGAGAGTACACTGAGGGGATGGTGGATGACTGGCAGTACTGTGAGAAGGGGCATGGGAAGGCAGGGCTGTTTTCCTGGGGCCAGCACCTACTAGGGGGTCCAGACTAAGCTCTTTTATATTAAAAATCTGGAAAAACCAGTAATACAATGTCATACTATGGAATAAATTATGTTTGTCTTTACCTTTACTCTAAATGTTCTCTTGTTCTAACTGGGTTGTGTTTTGTTCTGTTGCAGATGTATAAGGATTTATGAGTTGAATAAAGCCTTGATTACTGAAGGTGTTTGATATCATACGACATACAGCATCCATAAAATTCTGTAAACTTAAATAAACTGATAATAACATGTAAAAATCCATAATAAATCTCTATGAATTTGGTAATGGTTAACTTGTGAGAGTTGGCATCCCTACATTGGTGAGCACCGTGATCTTGGTGGAGGAGTTTGGTTATTTAAGAAATAACTGGAATGTAGAACAATTTTTTTTTTTTTACGGGAATTAGCCCACCCGGGCACAGGTCAAACGACCCACAACGGAGCCTGGGGCAAAAAAAAAAAAGAATGGAAAGAAAGTGTAAATATAGAAAAAAAGGTTTACTGTATCAATCTACACCACGAAGATGCCAGAAAACCAGGTTTTTAAAGTGAGACAGATTGCAAGAGCGTGGAAACACAGAAGAAGGCAGAGCATTCCACAGTTTGGCTGTGTGAGGAAAGAAGGAGGTACATTAACGGGTTATTCTCGTGTGACCGACATCCACAGAGAAATGGTGGGCACCGCAGGCAAGACGCGGTGTTACGAGCCCACGGCCTTGCCGGCGGTACACAGGATGCCAAATCCACTGAACATTGCCCGTTAAAGTACCTGTAAAAGAGAGAGAGTGAAGCAACATTGTATGGAAGAGAAAGGGAAGAGATTGTCGACTAAGGAGGAGAGTATTAAGACGAAATGCCTTCGATTCCAACCTATCTAGTAGTTGGACAGAAGAAGAGCCACCCCAGATATGAGAGCAGTACTCCAAGTTAGGAGAATGAATCCTATATACTTGGGTGAAGTAGCTGTGGCATCTGTACAGCATTCCCAACTTTCGGGAAGCAGCTTTAGTTATACTAAGGATGTGTGATTTCCAGGACATATTGGAGAAATGGTGAGGCCTAACATATTTATTTCAGAATTTGGGAGGATGATAGCGTCCTGAAGTGTAATTGGTGGGGAGATGGTCTAATTTACAAAGTGTAATTGGTAAATATTGAGTTTTGTTACTATTGAACTTAACAAGTTTGTATCTCCCATTCAGAGATGCTGCACAGATCCGCATTGATAGAAGTAATGATATCAGCTCTAGAAACAGATCTAGTTTGAGAGTTAGGAGGAAAATGTGAGGAAGAGTGAAGAGTAGAATCATCGGCGTAGAATGGATAGAATTAGTTGTAGTGTGAAGTATATCATTGATAAAAAGAAGGAAAGTAGGTGAAGAACAGAACCCTGTGGGACGCCACTATTGGTAGAAGAGCAAGAAATCGATCTCGACAACAACTGATGGATCGGTTCTCAAGGAAGCTAGAGATGAGAGAACAAAGTGGGAGGAAACCAAAAGAGGAAGTTTAGATAGCAAAGACTTGTGCCATACCCTGTCAAATGCTTTGGAGATGTCAGGGCCACGACAAAAGTTTCCCCATAATCTAAGAGGATGACCAAAGATGGGTGCAATGGAGAGCAGATCACCAGTAGATCTCGCCTGGGAAAGCCATACTGGTGATCCGACAAAAGAAAAGGCGTTCAAGGTGACGGAGAAAATGGGAGTTCAAGATAGTTTTGAAAATCAGAGGGATAGGATTAGGGCAATGGGGCGATAGTTAGAGGGATTAGAATGGTCACCTTCTTCGGGATGGGCTGAACCAAGCATGCTTCCATGAAGAAGGAAAAGTTTTGGTTTTGAGGCAAAAGGCGAAAAGCTGAGAGCAAGCACAGGGCCAGGGCTTCAGCACACTCCTCAGAACACGAGGGGGTATTCCGTCCGGTCCATCGCCTTACTCACATCCACCTGGATAACACACGGCAACCCTGCGAGTGGAGATTATAGGAAAGTGCATAGGTTCAGTAGGAGGTGCAGGGTAGGAGGGATAAGTGGGAATCGTCTAAGGTGGAATTAGAGGAGAATAAGCTGCCAAAGAGGTTGGCTTTGTCAGGAGAGTTGGGTTATAGAGTTATTGGGACGGAAGGGAGAAAAGAAAGTTGTTACAGATGTTTTAGTTAAGGACCAGAAGGATTTACTAGAGGAAGAATTAGTCAGGACAGGGTCTTTCTTTTTAATAAAATTCGCTTGCCTTACGAAGAACCTTAGTTCTGAAGTAATGAAAGTGTGGGTAATAGGAGAGATAGTTTCATAGCTCGATATGCCCTATCTCTCACTCCTCAAGCAAGAGAGCAGGGCGATCAAACCATGATTGTAATGTGAAAGTTTTGGTAGAAGATGGTGTATAGATATGTACATACCAAGATATGTGAACACATACGACACCAGGACTCTTGTTACCATTCATTGTACCATTTATTCACATGTCTGTATTACTACATATTATTATAGCATGTCTGATGTCTATGCTTATGTCTAATGCCTATGTTCATTTACTATGTCCCGATGTACTATGTCTGTACCGCTAGTCAGGTAATTAGAAGACCTCATTTATTGTCCTAGGAATGTCTAGCAACTCCTTGCCTGGCTAGCTAATTTCCCTCAGATCGGCCTCGGCCTACCTCACGGTCCGGGGTCCTAGTAATCGCTCCTGTATCGGTTGGCTATCACGCAGCCTTGTACCACTTATTGAATATACCTGCTCGTGCCCTGGGTTTCAAGAACCTTGTCTGGGATTACATCACCACACCACAGATGGGATAAATGCACTCATATGCCCCTGCATAACCCCAGCAATGCTGTCGGCACATACTGAGGCATCCCAAGTGAACAACATTCATCCAAGGAAAGTCGGTGAAGAATTCTCTAAGGATTGCCAGGCTCTCCAATAGTATAGTTGACGTTTAGGGGGTGGGGAGTGGTCGTGCCCAGTTTGATTTAAATGAAATAAGGATGTGATCAAAAGACCCTAAGGGGGCAGAAATTGTGATATGAATAGTTGGGGGTTAGAGGTAAAACAAAGATCAAGAATGTTAGCAAGTTGATCGTGTGGATCATTAATGTAGTGTTTGATTATTTGTTCCAAATCATTAAGTAAGGAAAAGAGAGTGCCTCAGCTCCACCTGGGTCATCCTTGCAGAGCCAAGCCACTCTCTGTGATGAACATTGAAATCCTTAGGTAGAGGATCTCGGTGTTGGGGTGTGTGGATAGAACGACTCATGGCAAGAAGTGAGATAGTCAAGAGTTCCAAATAGTTGGTAGAGTTGGGAGAACAGTATAGGAAACAAAGAAAATAGTCACAGTAGGTAGAGATATTTTGAGCCAGAGGACATCATAAAGGAGATTCAAGATCCGTGGTCGGGCTAGGTGTGCTTGTGTTGCAGTGGTACACCTCCCTTAGAATGGAAGGAGGTATAAAGGTTGTAGTTAGAGACTTGGAAAGGTTTGGGTGAAGCTGCTTTGGTCAGTTGAAGTTCGGAGAGTAGTAAGAGGTTGGGGAAGAGGTTGATAGATGGCACTCCACAGAAGAAAAATTGGATCTCAGTCCGCAAATGTTGGAAAAATGAGTTGTGAAAAAAACCGATCCTCCAGCAAAGCGGTGTAGTCAGTTGAGGCCCCAGTAGCTTGATGATGATCAGGTCGGCCCTGGGGTCCACAACCTTCCGACCAGTGGGACCCATCCAAGAAGCCCGCTTCAGTATTAATATCAACTGACATAGGAGAATAAAATAGACTGAATATAACAGAACAAGAATGAGTACGGTTTTATTTGTGGTGTTGTCAATAGTAAGAGAGACAGTTGAGACCCTGCAATTGTGTGTAAATGAGGCAGAAAGATAGATCAGCAACCTGGGACTTGGTCACAATTTACGTGATGCCATATAGCAGCAGGGTCTACCATTAGACAACACATTATGCTTTCAATATCTTCCCAGGCGGTAGTACCTCCCTGTTTGGTAACTGCCTACTACCTGATAATGGTATCACAGCCTCAATGCCAAAAAAACACAAAAGGTTAGGAAGAGGTTCACAGAAGAAAAAACTGCGAGGAAATAGCAGATACAAGTTCAGAAAATCAATTTAAAAATAATGTTTTTTATGTTCTTCTGGGTTAAATTATTGGAAACATGACAAGGCAAAATGAGGCAGTATGAGAGTTGGAGTCAAATTTCAGTGTTATGTGGAAATACACTAATATCTCAGTTAGCTGGAATCCCTCAAACCTGGACCCCTCTGATAGCCGGAATTGAAATATGCTCAGAAAATCACCCACAAAACCGAAAATTTCCAAAAATTTAATTTGGAAAAAAATTTTCCGAGGTTGAAAATCGAGAGCATTTTCTGAAAATGTCTTGAATAAAGACGAAAGCTAAGTTATTTTGGGGGAGGGACCAGATCTGACCTGACTCAATGTCAAGTGGAGGTAGGGTGGGGGATTAGTGGTCTCATATTACTGACCTGATACAATGTCAGGTCACCCTTTCTTGGGTGGGGGATTAGTGGGTCTCATGACCTGAATATGTCTTGAATAGACATGAAGGCAGAAAGGTGTGGGTGATTAGAGATGGAGTGGAAAGGCGTTTAACGTGCACCAGTGTTGCCAAGCGCTAAGCTCCTCAATAACTGATCTTTTAATTCGCCTCCATGCAGTCACATAACAAGAATGCGTCAAAAGGCGGGTTTCAATCATTCCCTTCGACATGCCCGTCACCTGGCGTCCTTAACCAAGGCGTTTACATTCAAAACAAATCTGGGAGGGCGTCGAAGGGAATTCTCGACCGCCAGGAGGACCACAGGTCCACGTGAATAAGTTTTATGATCA